AAAATGAAAGTCATGCAGGTTTGGAATGACATGAGGGTTAGTAAATGATGACTGAATTTTCAAATATTTCTTTAAAAAAATTATAAAGTCAAATGCAACACTGAAGTTCAGCTCCCCCAGGAGTGGCGTGTGTTTTCATGCATGTTAAGTTTAAAACTCTGTCTGCATTAAAACATGGTTACAAGGCGTTTTGTGGGCCACACAGGGCACACATTTGCACAGAGCTCAGTTCAGATCACAGGGTGTTTGAACCCCAGTTAAAGCATGATAGGAGTTTGGGGTTTGTCGGGGCCACAACTAACCACAGAGGACTCAAGTTAGCAAGGAATGCACCGGAACATTGTTAAATCCGCTAACAAAAGAACAAAGGCTCGGATGGGTCTAGCTGAAGTCTAAGAGTGTGAATTTGTGTCTTATATATTCCCTGACACTGAAAAACATTTTCCTTCAAAATGCTATGAGTTAAATGCATTCAAGTTACACAGTTTGTGTAAGTTTAATTAGTTATTCCAACCTTGTGACCCTTTGTACGGCACCTATTAGAAACAGTAGCACTGAAAGAAAGCTGATGCAATTTCTGTGAAATGACTTTAATTTGTCAATGTGAGAATTCATGCTTCGTGTTCTCCAGATCCTGGCCAGACTATGAAATGGACTGGACTGCCAGATGTGAGTGGGAAAGTGAGACAAGTACTTTCTCACATATGGCAACCTGTAGCCTCTGTTCCTTTTAGAAGGCGCGTTATTATCGTCATTAAAGTCCTGTTCACTTAAATGCACTGCCGAGGGTAATAAATGGAAAAGTGGTGGCAGGTTGGGTGAGAAACACCTGGCACTGTGTGTATGTGCGTGCTCCAAAAAAACTGACTCCAATAAATTTCCCCAGCAAAAGCCCATAAACATTTAGGGAGCAACCTCTCCCCTCGGTGGGGTGTCTGGTGGGATTGGCATTTTATGTAGAAGGCACTAAAGTAATTTTACCAAATGAAGTCAACATGAACTGACAAGCTTAATTTTACATCAGTTATTGTTCACCAAACAAAGGGGAACAGTCAAAATTACGGTCTATGAATGTGTTCAACACATATTCAACATGTATAATAATCTTTAAAAGACAACTGACAGAAGAGCAGAATATATATATATATATATATA